AGCAGCTGACTTGGGGACGCCTGGGGTTCTTAAGTTGATTCTGTATGTAAGTCAGAACTGGCGGTCAGTTTCAGGAGCGGCTGAATCTGGACGCCAGTTCCGACTTACATACAGATTCAACTTAAGAACAAACCTACAGTCCCTATCTTGTACGTAACCCGGGGACTGCCTGTATTATAATACAAAAGCACAGCTTGAAGTAATTATTTTGTTGAAAGTTAAATTGTGTTAAAGTGTCAACTAAAGGCTAAGGCATGCATGGCAACGGGAAGAAGAAACTGTGTGATTAATTTTGCTTACTGAAATTATGTAATCGGCATTATAGCCAAACAGTTTGTGCCATTACCCCCTCAACCCTCAGTAGCAGTTTACTTTCAAACAAGAAACCCATTCCTCCTCTTAGTTTTGCTAGTACTTAGTTTCCTTTCCTCTTGAAATTTTGCAAATTTTGCCCATTGCTCAATTATGTTATGACTCCACTTCTTTAGGGGAACACTTGTTCCATTTGGCAGTCTGCTAGTCACTCTGTCTTCAAGGGACATGTGTCTCGATTATATGCAGCACAACATAGTATGCTAAACTAGCTGTTTTAGTTACATTACCAAATTAGGGTGGAAGAGGAAAATCTACCATCACCACCACAATAGGGGTTCTTTAAAATTTCAGTCAACACAGAGCTCCTTCAAAACAACTCTAGCACAGAGAGACACTTCCTTCCTTCACATTCATGCTAGTCCACCACAGTGCCATTCAAGGGTTATTCCTTACAATATATTCTGAAATGTTCTTCCCAGTTCACTCTTACATGAATTGAGAATTGGACTTTCACCACACCTCTTGGAAGATATTGCCCAAAGAAAAAAAGGCTAAAGTCTGTTTGCTCAGTTTCATCTCCCTACTTTTAGGCACAACTGTATTGCACTGTTCTAAATAATTCCTTCTACTTAATACTTACAATATTTTTTCAGAAGAATTGTAAACTGTTAAGTTTCTTTTGGGATTCACCCACCTGTTTCCATGCTAGCAGATTTTAATAGCATTCCTTACTCACTAAGGATGAGACTTAAAGGACGCAAAAGAAGGGATGTGAACCAGTCAAAACACTAGTCAACTAGTCGCTTCCCGCCCCCTTCCTGCCTCTATAAGAGAGTGAGAAAGAATGGGGTGCTTCAAAGCAGCAGGGCCGTGTGGAACATGGGGCCAGACCTTGGGCTCCACGCAGTGCTGCTGCTTTGAAATGCCGCCTGTAGCCCAAGGCCAGCTGGGGAATCTCCCACTGGCCCCATGCTCTCCAGAGCTTTCACCACTTCAAAGGTGGAGGCACCTTTATTGACTAATCGAATAGTCGATGCAAGTTGCATTGATTATTCAATTAGCAGATTAATCTAAATTTAACATCACTACTCAGAAGTTTAAGCTGAAAGTCAACTGGACTTGTGCTCCTAATTTACTTATAGGCACTTGTAAAGCATAGCAGTCTTTATTTTTTCACTTCTCAAAAATTGGGTACTTGAAATCTACTATCCTCACAGTGTATATCTTGTGATCTCATTCTCTATTATTCTAAATTCAAGTAGCTCCTGGTTTCCAGATTTTATTTTTATCTGGATTTCCAAATGTTAAGTAGATAATGTATGTTTTTCCTCCGGATGGAGTCACTACTTTTTAATTTATGAAGCTGCCTTCTATGTAATTTAGGAACCAATTTTATTATGTGTGTCTGGTTATTTCCCACCCACCATTTACCTAGCTAGTTGAAATCCTTCAATAGTACAGCATCCTGAACATAAGGTGTATTCTTTAGTCATCTTGTAGGTTTTTTTATTTTGGGTTTTCTCCTATCATGGAAGACAAAGTGCCACAGTCCCTTCTGTTTTTCATTCCTTGGATCCTTCTCTAGAGTATTTCTCCACAACCTAAAATGCTGTATAGGTGCTAAACACACGTAAGCTACATAGAAACACCCTATCACCTTTTCTTCCCATCTCTACTGATATTCTATGTATAAGAATCATCTCATAATTTTATTGTTTTAGCCACTAAATTCTAATTACCATAGATTCTAGTAGATCTTTACTTTTCATGTTAATGTCATTGTACATCAGCATCTGTCTTAGACTTCATAGTACATCAGAATCTGTCTTATTTGTCAGCTTTTATTTCAGAATTTCATCTTCAGCCTTGATTTGTACGTTGGGAAAAATGCTAGACTGCTGTCCTACCCAAATTGAAGATATTGAAGATGGAAAAGACCAAATAGCCCACATAACCAGAGCATCATGCACTCTTTGAACACCACATACTTTTCCAAAAATTAACATTATGATGTGCTGTAATATACTTATAATGCTTCACAGAATTTTTTACACGGTCATGCATTTTGGAGAGCAAGATGATCTTTCTATTTTGAGCTAATGCAGTAAGTCACCTCCTTACTTCCACTTTGAATTTTTGAAAAATTACTCTTAAAAAGGCTATTTTAAATCTACCTCATCCTCACGCTGTTGA